CCCAGTCATAGACGGGATCATAGATTTGGAGATAGAAGGAACCTAAGAGGTCATCCAGTCCAAGCCCCTTTTTTACAGATGAGGAAACTGAAGCCCAGGAAAGTGAAAGGACTTGCCTAAGGTCGCATAGGTATATAATTATCAGAGGTAAAACTTGAAACCAAGTCCTCTGACTCCAGAATCTGTGCTCTTTCCACTGCTCACATGGTGAGTTTAAGTACTCTACAGGATATGACCAATGATAACTTATACACAAGAAACAGAATAAAAGATATCACCCAGGTCAAGTATGAAGAGAAAAGTATAGCAGGGCAATTCATACATCATATATAGCAAAAGAGAAGGATTACAAAAGGACAACTCAAATGCTGCACTGATGTCCACAGGAGAAGCTTTCAGTGTTTATGAGGGTTGTCCTCTGGATGATTTATGAAAAACACAAACAAGATGGAACATAAAAGCAAAACCACACTAAAGTACACATTTTAATAGACATTTTTTAAAAGCTTGAAAACAAAGCATTGAAAATTAATAAATCATTGACCATTTCTTTGTTTGTGTTTTGTTTCCTCTTTCTGGCGGTTCCTCCTATTGGTTCTAATTCTTACTTACAACATCACTAATGTGAAAATATGTTTAATAGGAATATATATGTACAGCCTATATCAGATTGCTCGCCGTCTTGGGGAGGGAAGTGGAGAAAACTTTAAAACTCAAAACCTTATGGAAGTGATTGTTGATAAATCAAAATAAATTTTTAAAATTTTTTTTTAAAAAGCCAAAACTCCTCCAAAGTTATCACATTAATAGTAATACTAAAAGCTATCATTACTTTTTAACGTAGTCTGAACATACAAAGGTGCTAAACAGAATTATTGATATAAGATTAAGAAAGTTCTTAAAACTATCAAAAAGCTTTTTTATTACAGCACTGAGAAAACAATAAGAGCAAATCAGAATAATTCTCATATGCTTAATAAAAAAAAGTTTTGACGGGAAAGAAGAGCAACATGCTGAAATGCTTTTCCTACTCTACAGAACACAGTATTTACAGTTTAAAATGAAGTTAGAAAACTTAGTAAAAGGCCTCAGACCATAGATCAGATGCCACAGATAACCTAATATGCCCTTTAGAATAATTAACTTTAACCAAAAGTCTAAAATGTCTTTTTTTCAATGAATTTAATGACCTAAGCATCATCTTGAGGAAAGATAAACTAAACATTCATTATAAACGTCAGTAAATTATTGCACCTTTCTCTTCCTCCAGTCACCCCTTCCCACCCCCACCCCCCAATATTTTTTGGATTAGTTCAGGCCAAAAAATATTAGAACTGAAGTGACCTTCAAGATTATCCAAGCCAGCCATGAGTTTCCAAGATGAAGAAAAGCAAGGCACAAAGAAATGAAGTCACTCCCAGCAGGGACAGAGACCAGGAAGTAGCTGACAGTGAAAAGGACTGACGGGCATTTCTTAAACTTTCAGGAGTTACCATGTGAAAGCAATTAAATTTTGCTGCTAAACTTCCCCGAACCCTACTCTGCCTTCATACTTTGAAGGAGGGTGGTAATAATGGAATAACAGCTTCAAGGGCTATCTACCCTGGCTCTATCTCTGCCTGGCTATCTATCTATACATTGCCTTGTTCAACCTAGTCAATACAGCAATTAATCTCTACATAAAATTTGACCAGTTCTTTCAAAAGCCAACTCACTTGATATTAAAAAGGTACATTTTGCTATAAAACTATAATTAGTGATCACAGCAGTTCCCAGTGTGATTTCTGATTCTAAAACAAATTTCCAATACAGAAAATACATCAAGTATGCAAATAAATGAAAAAAGTAACAATACCACATTCCCAGGGATCCCTAGTCAACAAGTTTGTGATTCTATTATTTTTAAATATTAGGGGAAAAAGTGAACTATACAAATTTGTAATCAGCATGTCAAATTTCTTTTAACATTATTATGATACTAAAATTTGGAGTTCAACAATATCAAGTTTCGTGTGTGTGCACGTGCGTGTGTGCGTGTGTGTGTGTGTGTGTGTGTGTGTGTGTGTGTGTGTGTGTGTGTGTTTTATTTAGTATTGCCAATTATTCAGGTTATTTTCACGGGCAGAACACAAACCTTCAATTCTTTATTTCAAGTTTTTACCAACATACGTTAAGCCAGTAACTTTACTCTTTGGTCAACATTTATGATGGGCGACTAACAAAATTAGCATTGAGGACTGTCCATCACAAAGGATAATAAATAAAACATGGTTTCTATCTTATCAACAGGTAAAATGTTTGTAATCTTTTATCTGTAACCATCTATTAAATACAGTCAAGTATAGATAAATGCCTTTATATGAGAAAAGGCTTAAAGTAGTTATCACTCACAAAAGTAATTTACCAAAGACATGTTTATATTTAACAATGCCACTCAAAATGATGTTGTTAACTTAAAAACATTTTAGGGATGCTACCATCTTACATAAACTATGCTCATCCAATTATCCAACCATGTTCTAACTAAACCCCTGGCAGCACTGAGGAACACGGTAAATCTCAGGCTTCCAGGTACTGCATTAAGATCAACAGACCCCATTTTCACAATGTTAAACAACTTACAATTTTCCTTTATAGTAAACATTTGAATTTTTAAACAAGAATAGTAGTTTCTGACCTGGTCAAGTTAAAAACCTGCTCTTCCTGGAAGTCTTGATCATTTCAAATACACTACTGCATGCACCACACATACCTTCAAATCAGTCTCAAGGGATTGGAAATTATATGTTAATTACTGAGTATATATATTTTATTTTACTACAACCAGAAATGGTATAACATTCATTGTCATGAATATTGTAAAAAAAGATGAATGATTTGGTCATCATTTTTAACCTAATACTAAGTGAATTCACCACAGAAACAATTAAGAGGACACACAAAGAATTGAGGAAATCTTAACCAACATGCAAGAAAAAAACTGAAATTACACCATACTGATAATGCAATACTAATGACTGTTGCAGAACCAGTGATAGGGATAAAGATATAGCAAAATAAGCCCACACAAAAAAGAGAAAAAGACAACAGAGACCCTAAGAGAGGGAAAGAAGCAGGAGAAAGAAGAGAAAGATCAATGGATTTTGAGTTAAGAGAAGCTGGATTCAAATTTCCATCTATACCTACCAGAGGTGTGACCTCAAGCAAATCACTTAACATCTCTAGGTCACAAGTTTCCTCATCTGTAAAATAAGGCACTACATGGATCTTTTAAGTCCCTAGATCAAGGAGTAAAAAAAAAAAATCAGAAAAATTCCTACACAAAAAAGCCATAAATAGCTGAAAACCTAGTCTCAATGATAAATAATGTAGACAGATAAATATAGATCTATCTATAGATACATACACACACAAACACACTTCCATACTTAGCACAGTATAGGGATAAAAGACCAACCCGAGTCAGGAAGATCAGGGTTCAAGTCTAGCTCATAACACTAGCTGCCAAGTCACAGCCTCTCAGTGCCCTAGGCAACTCCCCACAACTATAAATTGCAGACTAGATGTCAAACAGAATTGGTAGAAGGAGTTTCCTACATTTAGTCAATAAAAAAAAACAAACATTTTAAAAGACAAACTCCTAACATAGATTCACTAGGCCTATGAAACACTTCTGAGAAGAATTGTTATTTGAATACTTCACTGTCTGTCCTTGTTATAATAAAAAAGCCTGTATTACTGGAAGAGGCAAATATAAAAAACTAGAATAACTTGCCTCATTGTTTATTTAGGAATGTTCTATTTAAAGTGGGCCAACTATAAGAACTTGGCTATTGCATAACATAAAAAATAAATGAAATAACAATGTCTATTAAAATTCAGTTTTGATGACATTTCTTTATCCTCTAGGACATACGGAGATTTGTTTATCCTTGTACAATCTACACTCCCGTCATGTAGCAAATTCAAAGAAGTCTTGTGTTAACCCTAGCAAAAATTCTCATATCACAGGAGATGTTAATATTTTAATAACAACAAAATTCAAAGTAGATACACATCCCCAAGGCTCAATTCCTAAACAACCTTTTAAGAATGATAGTCTGCCAACTTTATGTTGATATGTTAAGCACGTGGTATCTATTTTAAAGAGGTCTGTTCTAAAGCAAATTTCTAAATTGTGCATTTTTCTTTTAAAAAAAAGTTTTCTTGGGGCTGCGGATTCTAGGGCAGTTAAGCTCTAAATCACTATGAGAAATCGGTGATGCTTCAAGAGTCTGTAATGACACCCAAAAGCAAAGATCTGACTTCTTTTAAACTACAAGTGAAGGAGTGACTTCATGACTTAAGAATCAACTCTTGTTTAATCCTCATCCAACCCTTCATTTACATAGCAAGTGTCTTTAGCTTCTCCTGTAACTCTTAGTAAGTACTGGAAGAATGAGACAGAGTAATTAAAAAAACTACAAATAAAGCAGGTCAACCCACATTCAGTGGGCCTTTGACAGAATTAGTGGGAAGATTTAGCCACAGCCACATTGGGTCTAAAATCAGTCCTAGAGACACGAGATTCAGTTTAAAGCTTTCATTTTTTCAAAGAATGGCGACACAAGAGACAGCCACAGTTAAAAGAACTAGACAATAAAACAGAGGGAGAAGGGAAGAAGAAAGGAGAAAACATAAAAGCAGCCATTTAAAGAAAATAAAGGATATGGCTTAAAGTAATGGTTGGGAGCAATGACAAGATAAAGAAAGGTCTGCCGAAAAGTAAGAAGGAAATCACAAATGGGAAGGGATGAAGGGGTCCAGGGGAGAGGTGACTGCAAACCAGGTAGAAGAGGAAGGGATGATTTAAGGCTCAGAGTAAGGGCAGGAGTGAGGACCCCTCCACCACCACCTCACTCCCCGCAGGAAAGAAAGAGAAAGCAGCTTCCTGAGTGAGGAGCCAGAAGAAGCAAGACGCGGATTATTTAACATTTGTTGATCCGCCGCTAGGAGCTGACCTCTGAAACGCATCCATCGCTTCCAACCCCGGGCCAAGGCCGAGGAAAGGGCCAGGGCAAAGGCCTAGCCGGGAGTCGGGCCTGCCGTCCCGGGCTCCCGGAGGGGTGGGGGAAGGGAAGGGAATTAAGCAGCCGAAAAGGGCCTCCGAGGAAGAGCACCTCGACCGTCACCCTCGGAACCTTTTCCCCCTCGCCCGAAGCAACGGGCGGCGCTTACCTGGGGCGGGAGGACAGAGAGGTCCCTCGGGTCTCGCTCCGGCCCCGCGCAGAGTTCCCCCCCCACCCCCGCCGCACTTAATCCCGGGATCCCAACGGAGGCGCGGCCCCTCGCCGCCGCTGCTTCCTCCTCTGCCCCGGCCTCGGCCGCCGCGCCTCAAGGGCTGTTTACACCGTCGGGCCCTTCACACCGCCGCCGCCGCTGCCTCCTTCCCTCCACCTCAGCGCCGTCGCTGCTGCTGCTGCTGCTGCTGCCGCCGCCGCCACCGCCGCCTCCTCCGTCGCGGCCTCGTCTCTCTGGGGCATCTTCCAACCACCGACCCCTGAGAAACAGAGACTCCAGCCGCGCCGGCAGGAAACTCCCCCGCAACTGCCAACGGGGGACGAGTCGGTCAGAACCCGGGCGGCTTCTCCGCCATTGAGCAGCAGCAATAGCAGCAGCAACTCAGCTCCTTCTGCGATGGGTGCCCCCCCCCTCTTCCCCAAGTCCGCGTTCCTCTCCGCCCCTCAGTGGGCCCCGCCCCTAACCCCCGCCCATTAGGAAGCCACGCGCCCTGTCACGGAAGCCGGTTCGCTGAGTGGCCTGTCGGTCATTGATCTCTTGTCCAGTTGGGCTCCCTATTGCAACTCCGCATTTCATTTTCCCCGCCTCCACGGCCTCGCCTCTGTTCCAAATCTCCCATTGGGCACCAACGGCCTTTGTCAATTGGACAATATCTGTGTCCATCAAACACCGCCCACTGAGTAAGACCCAACCTCTTAAAGCGATTTGCTTCATGCTTAACCAGACTCAGCAATACCTTCCCTTCATTGGTGTTGGTGGCCTACTTGATCATAAGTCAAAGGAGCTGTCAATCAAACAACGCCCATACGTTTGGCCTTCTTGCTGAGCCCGACCCTAACCATTCCCTTTTTCTATTGGTCCAAATTGGCTCAAACCTTCACGTCATTGGCTTTTTCTAGTTGTCTATCACTCAGCCAATTTCCAAGTCCGTCACACCGGCTTTTTTTAAATGGAAGCAAAAGGCGGGGAGAGCTCGGAAACGCGATTGGCAGGACTCCTCTATCAATCAAACGCGGAGTCCCCATCTACCTCCGGCGCGTCCCTATGAAGAGTTTTCCCTGCTGTTCCCGACCTCTAAACCCTGCGTACAAGCAAGCTCCAAGAAGGAACCAACAGACCACCCACGTTTGGCCTTAGAGGCCCTACACCGCCCCGGATTGCAAGCGTTGCATTGTGATTGGTGGAGAAAGTCGTCCTCGTTCCTCATTGGAGGACAAAGATGCCTCTCTGGGGCGTGGGAGGCGAGTCGGGAGGCGGCGGAGGGGACGGAGAAGAGATCAAGGGAGAGGCGGTTGTTTTGCTTCGTCCTACGGGGTGGGGCAGTCGCGGGACGGGTCGGTAGCGCGGAGGACAGAATAACCTATGGGCGGGGAGGGGAGAGGAGACCCGGATGTTCTTTGACAATGAAATCATCGCCGACCAATCAGAGCCACGGAGCGGAGCAACCCGCGGGAGGAGAGCCCTGGAGAGAGGGGCAAATTAGGCTAGTGTGGGGAGGTTGAGTACGTCCATGTGACGGACTCGCGTCCTCGGCTCTGCTGCTTCTGAGTTGTCGGGGAACCTTTCGTGGTTGTTTTTCCAAGCTAACCCGTTATTCAATTCCAGACATGTCAGTAGACAGTCAGCGAGCATTTATTAAGCTCTGACTGTTTGCCAGGTGCTGTACCAAGCACTGGGATACAAAGGGGAAAAGAGAGCCCCAGCCCTCAAGGAACTCACTGTCTAATGGGGGAACCAACAAAGAAACAATTGTATAAACAGCCAGTCAATCAATGAGCATTTATTAAGCACCTACTGGAATATACTAGAAAAGAAGCTTGAGGGTGCTTGTGAAGCCAGGACGTGAATGGCTGTTCTATCACCAGTGTAATCATCTGTGCCAGACACAGTGTAATATCCTTAACCCCTTGTCCATGTATCTTGTTTGTTATGAAGGGAATAGAGGAGAGATCACCGTAATTGGCTTCTTTTCTCCCGTTTCCCTCCTCTCTCCCCTGTCCCCCAGATAACATAACTAAACTGTAAGAGACCTTCCCCGATATTGGATGGTTTTTTGTTTTTGTTTTGGTTTGGTTTGGTTTTTTTGCTGAGTCTTCGTGAGTTCCATTTGAAAAAGTGAGAAAAAGGTTTTGAGTTAGGTGAATGCATGGATGCAAAATACGGCATACTGCAAAGTTGAGTCCATATTTTTACTACTTGGAAGACTAAGAAAGGGGTGGTGGGAGAAGAGAAAGGAGGGTAAAGTCTGTCAGAAGATATGTGGCTCACAATTTGAACAGACTAGCGTCATGCTTAGAGTGTATCAACCATTGGAGCCAGGACATTGCTTTCTTTGCTTTCATCATACCTAAAGATCTGCCTAAATATGAGGCAGAGACCAAAGTCAGGGCCACATAAGGGAGAGCCTGAAGTTGGGAACAGGAAATAGCTGCAAGAAATGGAGGAATCAGTCAGCCCAAGAATCAGCTCTAGAAATTCGTGTGATTCAGTTTGAATGCCCATGCTTCTAAAGTCTCCGGGCCCTCTTGAAGCTTGAGGGTTCCTGTTTAGCTACCTGTGCTTGGGTTTAGAGAATATTTCCCCAACATCTTCCACCATTTAACTATACAGTGACCTAAAAACTGTACTCATCAGATGGTGTAATCTTATGCTAAAAGGATAGGAGTTTTGATTGGTGAAGGAGTAAGATGGCAGGAAGGTCAGACGAACAGGCCACTTGGAAACATGAGGCCTTGAGGAATAGGGATGTGGAAGAACCATAAGTTGTTTGGACAAATACTACAAATACTTTAAGATGCAAATGCATGTGTGTCATTCATGCCTTAATGGGAATTCCTTTAGTAATAGGTAGCACAACAGATAAAGGAGCATTGAATCTAGCATCTGGAAGACCTAATTTAAATTCTACTTTGGGCACTTACTAGCTCTGTGACCTTAGGTGAATTACTTAACCTTTGTTAGCTTCAGTTTCCTCATCTATAGAATAGGGATAATCAGCTAGGTAGTACAATGGGTAGAGTGTCTGGGGCCTGGAGTCAGGAAGACCTGAGTTCAAGTTTGACCTCAGGCACTGTGTGATGGTGAGCAAGTCACTTAACCCTGTTTGCCTCAGTTTTGTCATCTGGGAAATGAGCTGGAGAAGGAAATGACAAACTATTCCAGTATCTGCCAAGAAAATCTCAAATGGGGTCACAACAACAACAGAAACCTCCAGGGCTATTGTCAGGATCAAATGGGACATTTTAAAGTTCATTGCTAAGTTTAAAGTGCTATATAAATGCTGGCTGGCTATTATTATTGTTATTATTATTTATTCTGCCAGTCTGCCAGAGCTTAGCTCTGAGTACTGCTGTATGCTGCAAAAGGTGACTTTTGCCTATAGAGACAATGTCCTCATTGTTTGAGATTAAAATAGATTCATAATGAGTTCCCATTTGTGCAGTATTTTACAGTTTACAAAAGTGCTTTTCTCTCAGCAAAACTGTGAGGAAGCATTACAACAATAATTGTGGTTGCTTTAGTATGAGTCTCAGAGAGATGGCTCAAGTGCCTAGCAGACCAGTCCTCCCAGGAAACATCCCTGCAGACCCTTTCCCAGCCTCTCACCTGACCCTTCTCTGGGAACAGCCCCCATGCTCTTCCCCTATCATCCTACTCCTCTTAATGAAGAGCCCAGAGTTCATCTCACCTCTCCAGTGCCCCACTCCTCTCAGAAAACTGCAGAGCAAGTGATACAATGACATCGGCCTCCTTGCCACTGCTCCCCTGCTCTCTCTCTCTGCACTCTGTGTATTTTTACTAGCTGTCTCTGAAGGAAACAGACCCTCCCTCCTCATCTCCCTCCTGATCTTGACTTTCTTCAAGTCCCATCTAAAATCCTGTCTTCTGCAAGGAGCCTTTTCCCAGTCCTACTTTAATACTAGTGCTTTTCCTGAAGTCATCACCAGTTTATCCTGTATAGATTTAGTTTGCACATGGTTGATTGCATGTTGTCTCCTCCATTTGACTCCAAGCTCCTTGAGAACAGGGACTGTTTTTTACCTTTCTTTGTATCTCCATCTCTTAGAACAATGCCTAGCACATAGTAGATGCTTAATAAATTTGATTTGACAGTCAATAAAAATTTTATCAACTTCCTGTGCCTTCCCTTTCTGACACTCCATTCCTTTCAAGGAACAGCTGCCTATGACATGGCTCTCATTGAACATCCCATGCACAATCTTCAGGGACCAGCTCAGAACAGACCTCCCCTATATAACACTCACTCTTTTGAGAAAACAACACAGAACACGCCTCTTTTGTCTAACACCCACTGCTTTCTGGACTAACACCTTAAACAAAGGCTCCAACTATTGACTCCAAACTACTCATCCTCTGGTGGTAAAACTATGTTAGAGTCAGAAGTGGCATGTAAACCTGCCCCCCCTCCCCAACCAGCCTAATAATAAGTTCACATTTATAGAGTTCTTTAAAGTTTATAGAGCCCTTCACATACATGACCTCATTTGATCCTCACAACAGTCCTATGAGGTAGGCGTCATTATCTCCATTTTACAGAGAAAGAAACTAAGACTTGGAAAGGTGAAGTGACCTACTCAGATTCACACAGCTAGTAAGTATCTGTGGCAGGATTGGTACCCAGGTCTTCCTGATTGGAAGTCTAGCATTTTTGTCCATTACTTACAGTTGCTATTCTCTAACTGTGCCTTAGCTCTAGGGCCCTAACCACGCCCCTTCTCTCCCTCAGCCCTACTAACCATAACCTAGCTCCTAATTGTGCTTCGGCCTTGCCCTTCCAGTCATATCCCTGGGTTTTCTGAAGGTCTAGAGGAAAGAGCACTAAATGTGTAGTCAGAGTACTTTG